ACACGCAACCCCGTGGCAAACTGTGTTTGTACAGCTGTTACACAGCACAAAACGTATAAAAAAGGATGCCGGCAGGTACTGCGCAGTGAGAAATGACGGTTATAGTAGGGCTATAGGTTGCGAGATTATGACTTGTTCATTCATTTCGATGATAAATTGGTATTGACATATGCCCATGGGGGACTCAAACCCCCCATCGCCTTATCTGTAAAAGGAAGTCATCGACAGCTTTGCTAACGGATTGCTGCTAATGGCATTTTCTATCCATTTCAGCTACTTTGCGACTACTTTTGTCTTTTTTTTTCATAGAAAGCGAATTGAAGGGAGATTTTGAGCGCTGAAATCCAAGAAGTGGGTTCCAACCGCATATTTTTTCTTTTTGCACAAAATAAGCGACTGAAAATGAAAGACTGAAAAACTTGCCCAGTCTAATAACTCATTAAAAACAGACTAAATGCAGGATAATTTACTTCGGATTTTTGTCTTTTTTTTTTTTAAATAAAAATATGGATTGAATGCAAACCCACAGAAATATCAAGAAAATCCATAGAATTTTTCAGAATTATCATAAATATTTATTGCAAGCAAAAAAAAGCGCATTGAATGCTAATAAATAAAACCAACATGAAACAAAAAGCATAAGCGAAAATACGAAAATAATCAAAAATGCGAAAATGCGAAGCGAAATTAAGCCAGGAATAACTAGTTATTCATGGAAAAAAAAGGTATTAGTATAAAAATCCAAAAAGTTAAAATTGTAAATTTTCAGCAACTAAAACGTTGCGAAAAATGGAAAAATATAAAAATTACAAACTTATAACAAAATAACAAATTAACAATAGCAACATATCATATTTCCATGCAAGTACAAATCTTTTCTGGGAAAAAATAATAAAATTCTCCACTGGCTAATTCTCTCAAAAAAGGCAAATTTTGCTTTGCGTGAAATAATCCCCTTTAATCCCTTTAATAATCCCCGTGCTCTGAATCAAATAATCTCTTTAATAATCCCCGTGCTCCGGATCAAATAATCCTCGTACAGAGGTACATCGCGAAAAAAAATTGATTTAAATATTAAACAACTTTGTTTTGAAACAATAATCCTCCTGCAGAAACAAAATATGCTTAAAAATAATTGCCGTGTAATAAAATTCTCCACTGGCTAATTTTCGCAAAAAAAGCAAATATGATCTTAAAAAAAAATATTTTAGAATATGCCAAAAATCTTTCTGTGAGTGAAATAATCATTCGGAGAGCTTAATATACTTGAATACTGCCGTACTTGAATACCTAAAGAAAGATCCTACTACGATAAAAATCTTTAAAATCTTGAATATCCGTGGATAAAAAATTTTACTCTGAGCCAAATAATTTCTGTGGAAAGACTGCTGGCCTCATCCAAACAACAATATCATAAACAAAAAAAAATTTTGCTTCACGTGAAATAATCCCCTCAAGAAGGCCAACAAACTTTAAAAAAAGGCCTAATATAATAAAAATATGGTCCCTCCCCAAAAATATAAAAATAATCCCCGCATAAAAGAAAATATAAATGAAAAAAGAAAAACTTGTACTGTATACAAATAATTCCCGTATAGAAGAATAATATCATGAAGACAGTGAAGGACAGAAAGCAAAACAGAAATACTGCAATAAAATGTTGAAAAAAAAAAAATAAGCAATTTGACGCTCTGTGTGTTCGTTCTGGCCAAATGCATGAACAAACATGCATATATCCTGTTTTGGATGAATAATTGTATCGTATTTGTACTGTCAAATGAATGA